AGTTTTGTGTCTCCTAAATTTTTTTTTTTTTAAGATTTTATTTATCATGTATACAACATTCTGCCTCCACATATGCCTGCACGCCAGAAGAGGGCACTAGATCTCATTACGGATGGCTGTGAGCCACTATGTGGTTGCTGAGAATTGAACTCAGGACCTCTGGAAGAGCAGCCAGTGCTCTTAACCTCTGAGCCATCTCTCCAGCCCCTCTCCTAAATTAAAAAAAAAATGCTATCGTATGTGTGGTTTGCCTGCATGTGTGTCTGTGTACCACGTGTGTGCAGTATCCTCAAAGTCCAGAAGAGGGGGTTGGACCCCCTGGGACTAGAGCTATATAGATGGTTGCCAGCCAACCGGTGTGGGTGCTGGTGATCAAACCCTGATCTCTGCATCTTTGGAAGAGCAGTCAGTGCTCTTAACTGCTGAGTTGTCACTCCAGGCCTTGATTCTCTTTCTGAGTTGGTCTCACTAAGGCTGGCCTCAAACTCATTATTGGACTCATAAGTTCCAGGTGGCCTGGAACTCTGGATTCCTGTTTCTCTGCTTCTGGAGTGCTGGATGGAATTCCAGGCATTTGCTACCACACCTGCCCAGGGTTTGAGAGTCTTAATTGAGGGTGATGGGAGATTGGAAGATGTGATCCTTGGTGCTGTCACTCCTCACTCCTGAAGGCAAGCAGCCCCTCTTTGTGGCCACAGCAGGGTTGAGGGTGGTCCACAGTGGTCCCTCAACCCTTGGAGTCCCATCTTGGCATCTGTAGATGTTGTATGTTGTGGAGGAGGTCTCTACACTCTTCCTTGAGAAACTGGATGGATGACCTGGGTACCTCTGTTTCGGCCCTTCTGTGGTACTGGGCCTTGAGAGGTTCCACTGGTGATGTTAGGGGGACTTTCCCGCCAGATATCCCTACTAGAGGGAGGTAGAGCTGCCTTCCGAACTGGAGGGTAGGGTGGGAGAGGGGAGTGTCCAGGTTGGTCAAGAAAGAGAACAGGAGGGTATGGCAGTTGCTGTCTGGTCCCCCCATCTTTGCCTTAGAGTCAGGCCACACCTTGGTCCTGCCCTGAAGCTAAGGTGTGGGGAAGGTGACCCCAGAGTGGTGAACTAGTCCAGATGCCAGAGAGGGAACTACCCAACAGAAATAAAATCTAAGAAGACTGGAATGGCTCAGTGGTAGAACATTTGGTTAGTGTGTTCAAGGCTCTGGTTCCATCTTGAGGCTGAGACAGGAGGATTGTAAATATGAGGCCAGCTTAGGCTATATAGTATGAGGCTCTATCAAAAAAATAGAGGGCCCAGGGTAGTGAGTCAGTGGTAGAAAGCTTGCCTAGCATGTGAAAAGCTTTGGGTTTAGCCAGGAAAGACGGCTTCACAGGTAAAGGTGCAGTTGCCAAGCCTGACAGCCTGAGTTCAGTCCCTGGGTCCCGCATGGCAGAAGGAGAGAACCAACTCCCCTAAATTATTCTTGGCCTCCACACTCCTGCAAGTGGCATGTGTGCAGCCCCACCCTCAGAAAACATATAAAATAAAATGTAATTTTTTGGTGTGGTGGCACACATCTTTAGTTCCAGTACTTGGGGCAAAGGCAGATAGATCTCTATGAAGCTAACGTGTCTCTATAAGGAGTTCCAGGCCTTCCAAGGGCTTTATAGTGAGACCTTCTCTCAAAGTCAACAAACAACTAAACTTGGGGCTGGAGGGATGGTGTAGCTGATAAGAGCATTTACTGCTCTTGCAAAGAGCCCAGGTTCAGTTCCCAGCTCCCTTGTCAGTTGGGCAGCCCACACTCTGTAAGTCCAGTTCCGGGGATCCAGTGTCCTCTGTTGACCTCTGCAGGCACCAAGCACATCCATAAGTGCAAACACATACATGCAGACAAGACAATCACACGCATAACATCAAAAAATATTTTAGGGCTGGAGAGATGGCTCAGAGGTTGGGAGCACCGACTGCTCTTCCAGAGGTCCTGAGTTCAATTCCCAGCAACCACATGGTGGCTTACAACCATCCATTGTGAGATCTGGTGCCCTCTTCTGCTGTGCAGATATACATGGAAGCAGAATGTTGTATACATAATAGATAAATAAAATCTAAAAAAATATATTTTAAAATTATATGTCAAAAATAAAAAGCTCTATGCCACATCCTTAGTGTCCCCTAACATTTTATAATATGTTTCGACTTACTGTTAGATTTTAACATGTAATGGATGGGGAAAGGTCTGTCAGTGGTAGAGAATTTCCCTTACATATGTAAGGCCCTGAGTTCAGTCTCGAGTACTGGGAGAAAAAGTAAAAAGGTGAATGACTTAGTTGGTGTTATTCATAGAGTACTAAAAGTTACACTTAATGGTGCATCGAAATTCAGATTAGCCACATCTCATCTTAGTGGTACTCGCTGCCTGGGGCTGGTGGTACTGTTTGGATAGCATAGCTTTCCAGAGAGCCTGCTTGAGTCTGAGCCCCTGTCCTGTCCACCCAGGATGGTCATGGTCGGTTGGTCTGTCTGTCTGTCTGTCTGTCTGTCTGTCTCTCCTCTTTCTTTTTGAGACAGGACTTCTCTATGTAGTCCTGGTTGTCCTGCAATTAGACCTGTAGACCAGGCTGGCCTCGAACTCCTAGAGATTCATCAGCCTTTCCCTCCCAAGTGCTGAGATTAAAAGCGTGCACCACTACTGCCTGGCCAGAAGGGTTTTTCTAGGGCAGGTTATTAACCTGTGTGGTGTACCCCAGTTTCCCCTCTGCAGAATGAAGGTAAAAATGTTCATAGAAACCCATATTCAGCCGGGCAGTGGTGGCGCACGCCTTTAGTACCAGTACTCAGGAGGCAGAGGCAGGCGGATCTCTGTGAGTTCAAGACCAGCCTGGTCTACAAGAGCTAGTTCCAGGACTGCCTCCAAAGCCACAGAGAAACCCTGTCTGGAAATACAAAACAAAACAAAACAAAAACCCAAAAAACAAAAAAAACAAAAAAAAAGAAAGAGAGAAGATCATATTTAGTGGCACAAGCCTGTAATTCCAGCACTCTGGATGGCTGGCTGAGTCAGGAGAACCTCAGAATTCAAGGCAGCTATAGCTGCATGAGACCCTGTCTCAGCCAAAGAAAGGAAGAAAGAAGTTAGTAGCAATTTCACAGTGTTGTTGTGAAGATTAAATGAGGTAATATTTAAAGTGCTTTGGTCCTTGCCCAGCTCCTCCTAAGCACCATGTAAGTGTTTGTCAAATAAATGACTTATAGGTGGTCCTTAAAAACTAGACACGTTGGAATTTTTAAGGAGGGGCTGGTGATATGTTTGGAAGAGTCCGACTGTGGAGTGGCCTGGGGAGTCCTGGCAGGTGGGGCCTGTGCCCTTGTGGTTCTGCTTTGTGAAATGGACGTCAGATGAAGGACACCATTGCTTGTGGCTGCAAGTGAGAAATGGCAGCTCTGAGGTGATGGGACAGTCTCCAGTCCCCAGGGTGTGTCTGCCAGGCCTGAGAACTCTGCCTGTGTGCAGGAAATGAGCAGAGATCCTCAGAAATGTCCCTTCATAAACTTGTGACCTCGTGTGTGACAGGCGGTGGACCGTAAGCCGTCGAGGTGCTACTGATACAAGAAGACACTGTATAGCTTCCTGCACGCCTAGAAAACACTGCAGCCCCCCACCCCCTTCTGACTGCAGCCCTTAGCCAACCCTTCTGTGTGCTCATTTGGGGGTAAATGTGAATGGAAGGCCTGGTGGCTGGCCCTATTCTCATTGGCTGCAGGGGGTAATTAATGACAACCTTCAAGATGAAGAGAGTGTTTAGAGCTCAAGTGACTCGTTCTGATGAATGCCGACGAAGGCTTCTTGGAGGAGATGAAGGAGAAGCTTTGAGAATAGGGAGGGCTGTGACAGTGTGTGCAGGAGAGGGGGACGCAGGAGGAAGAAACATCCGTGTAGGCTGAAATATTGCATGAGGACTGTTATCATGTGGTTATAAGAGAGGTAGATTTGAGCTGCACACATCAGGCAGGATGGAGGTGTGTGTGTGTGTGTGTGTGTGTGTGTGTGTGTGTGTGTGTGATTGGCGACTGACCTCTACAATGCTAGATAGGCAGGTTACCACTGAGTTCTGCCCAGGGATTACATTAAATCTATATCAACAAAATGTTCTTTATGGTGTAACAGTTTATGGTTTTTGTTTTTGTTTTGGACAAATGTATGGAGTTGTATGTGCACATCACAATTAAGGTACAAGACAGTTTCATCTTCCCCATATTTCTTCATTTCTCCCCTCCCCCATGCTCATCTCTCAGCAACACCAATAATCTGTTCTCTAGTCCGGTGATTTTTGCCATTTCAAGAAAGCAATGGTGGTGCACGCCTTTAATCCTAGCACTCTGGGAGGCAAGACAAATGGATCTCTGAGAGTTCGAGGCCAGCCTGGTCTACAGAGCAAGTTCCAGGACAGCCAAAGCTACAACACAGAAAATCCCTGTCTAGACAAAAAAAAAGAAAGTCATGCAAAACGAATCATACAGTTGTGTGTCTTTTTGGGTCTGACTTCCTTAACTTGCTGTAATACCTTTGCTAGCTATCCAGACTGCTACGTTTGATTACCTTCAGTTTGCTCCTCTTTAGTACTGAGTAGTGCTCCATTACTGTAAATGGATGTACCACAGTGTGTTTAATCATCTTGTGTTTTACAGCTAGTTGTGAATAAAACTGCTCTTAGCATGCATTTTCTGTTTCTGTGTGAACACAGGCTTTTTGTTTTTATTGTATTAATACTTAGGAATAGGATGGCTGGGTCTTTTGTAACAGATAGACATGTTGAATGCCTTGAGACACTGCTTCTTTCTTTGTTTCTTTCTTTCCTCCTCCTCCTCCTCCTCCTCCTCCTCCTCCTCCTCCCCCTCCTCCTCCTCCTCCTTTTCCTCCTCCTCCTCCTCCTTCTTCTTCTTCTTTTTTTCAAGACAGGGTTTCTCTGTGTAGCCCTGGCTGTCCTTGAACTCAAAGATCCACCTCTCTCTGCCTCCAGAGTGCTGGGATTAAAGGCGTGCACCACCACCTTCCGGTTTCAGGCTGCTCTTGAACTAACAGCAGTTCTCCTGGTTCAGCTTCCTAAGTGCACGTGTGACACACCATTTCAAGAAAAAGATCCCCAAAGGAAGGTAACTGGTGTGAGGGCCTCTGGAAGTGATATGAGCCTGTCTTCAAGGGCAAAGGTGGGACCCAGGCTGAGGAGTGGGGAACCCAGAGAGTGGTCTACGGGGAAGAAGTAGAGCAGTGTCCCGTTCCCTCCCCGCTCCCTCCCCACACTGTGTCCTGCCCCCCCTGCTGTGGAGCCCACCTCAGAGTAAAGGGGCTCAGGTGGGCATCCTCTCTGGCTTGCCAGTGGTATCTGGTTCTCCTTCATGCATGGTGGGTCAAGCTAGGCTGTCTCCACCCAGGAAAGAACAATGGCTATTGCCCCAGCCAGCACCTCAGCCATTTACATGGCCTTGTTTCCAAACTGAATGACCATGTGTTCTGGAATGGGAGGTGGGGTGGTTGGCAGGCCTTCAGGGGTGCTGGGTGTGTGGTTGAGCCAGAGGGACTCAGTGGGGTGAGTTTTCTGGGTCAGGGTGGATCCTCTGCTTTGGTGACCTCAGTCTAGAGTGTCACCCTCATCCCTATCTCTGTGGCTCTGAGACATTTCTTTGGAAAATGACCAAGGCCAGGTGGATGCTGCCTCCTGCCTCTTCCCAGAGCTTGGCCATACCCTTGCCCTCCAGTGTTCTGGGATCATGGCTCTGTTCACGTGGTAGAGCATTCATTCCTTCTCCAGAGAGGATAAAGGCCTTGAACTCAGTGAGGCGCAGAACTCCAGTTCCTGGTTTGGGTTTAGCCTCAGGTCCTGGTTGGACAAGGGTAACCCTGTGTCCCTGGGAGAATCGTTGAGAGCCAGCCCAGCCCTAAGAGGGAAATAAGCCTTAGGTGTGCTCTATCTGCCCTAGGGGACTGCCACCTGATGGGATTACCATGGTTACCTCTAGGGCCTGTCTGGCAAAGACTCCAGTAGGGAGCTCTCCTGTGTCAAGCTGCACTTTCCTGGGGCAGGCCTGTTTCAGGTAAAATCAGCTGTTCTGCTTTGGGCCTGTTAAGGACTCTCATCACTTTTGCTTTAGTATGGAAGTCTGAAGAAAGGTTCCTAGGAAAGAATTTAAGAGTTAAGTCTTCCTTGTTCCAATTTTTTTAAAACTTTTTTTAAGGTTTTATTTATTTATTTAAAGATTTTATTTATTTATTATGTATGCAACATTCTGCTTCCATGTATATCTGCACACCAGAAGAGGGCACCAGATCTCATAACGGATGGTTGTGAGCCACCATGTGGTTGCTGGGAATTGAACTCAGGACCTCTGGAAGAGCAGCCAGTGCTCTTAACCTCTGAGCCATCTCTCCAGCCCCTTGTTCCAAATTTTTTTAAAAAATTACATTTTTATGTAGTGTGTGTGTGTGTATGTGTATGTGTGTAAGAGGGAGAGGAAGAGAGAATGCCACAGCACACACGTGGACGGAAATGAGAGGACAGTTTCCAAGGGTCCACTCTCTCCTTCCACTTCATGAGCCCTGGAGATCAAACTCACATTGTTAGGGTTGGCAGCAGGTGCCTTTACCCACTGAGCCATCTAGATTTTTTTTTTTTCTTTACTTTGTAGCTGTGTTTGGCCTGGAACTGACCAGACTGATCTCAGTCTCACAAAGATCACCCTGCCTGACTCTTGAATGCTAGGGTTAAATGTGTGTGCCACCACACTTAGTAAGTAGACGTAAATAGCAGTTTGGGGGGCTGGAGAGATGACTCCATGGTTAACATTGTACATTGCTTTTGCAGAGGACCTGAGTTCATTTCCCAGGTAGCTCACAATTCCTTCTTAACTCCAGCTCCAGGGGCCCTGACACCCTCTGAGAGCTCCTGCACTTATGCACACACACACACACACACACACACACACACACACACACACATATCTTAGGTATGTATCAGTATGGAGTTTATAGAAGAATCCAGGAGGAAATATGGAGTTCCTTGATTTGTATATTTTCGTATATCTTCCCTCAGTTTCTTTGATTAGTAGTATCTCAAGTTGGTGTGATGTCTGTGTTATAACTGAGTGTTATAGTCGGTGTTAGCAGTTTGTCAGCTTGTAGTTCACAGACGGGCTCACACTGGGCTCTGATACCGGCAAAGTGGTGTGTACTCTCCATGGCTGTATCATACAGAATGGCTCCACTGCCCTAAAAAAAAAATCTGTTACATCTTTTCTTCCAACCCCAGATAACCTCTGACCTCTCTATTAACCCAAGAAGTTTTTTTCCCCCTCTTCCTCACTCTTTCTGTGTAGTGGGTACCAGAAAAAAGAATGTTGTGTGTAGCCCTGTGATGTTCCACTTTATTCCCTTGAGATAGGGTCTTTCTGAACCTGGTGATAGACTGGTGGCCGGAAGCCCTATGTCTGCCTATCTTCACCTCTCTTCTAGCACTGGGAGGTGAAGGTGTGTGGCTGTACATGGATGTTGGAATCCAAACTCTTAAGTCCTCGTGTTTGCACAGCAGATGTTGTCATCCACAGAGCTGTGTCTCTCCAGCCTCTGAGTTTTGTCTTTTCTAGAAGAATAGTTGAGATCACAGAGACTTGACCTTTCAGACTCTTCCTTCACTTGACGTTACAAATACCTTTCCATGGCATGATAGCAAATGCCTTTTTCATCACTGAATAACATTCCACTGTCTTGCCATGGGGCCACTGAAGTTCAAAGAGGGCAAGTGTCTGCTTCTAGAGGTTCCAAGTAGTCTACAGCAAACCTGAGCTTGAGCCTAATTTCTTTTTTCTTCCATAATCTGTTCCCAGGGGCGTAAAACCATGTTTCACCATGGTTTCATTACCCGCTGTGGGGCCTCAGACAGGGTGGAGGGTTGTGGAAACCAGTTGCTGTGACCCACTTCCTGGAGGTGTTAGAGACAGGTCTGCAGACACCCACAGCTCAGCTGTTGGGAAAGGCTAGCTGGGGTCAGGCTCCCCAAGTTCCAACAAGCAGAAAGAATGGGATACTAATCTGAGCACCGTGTCCTCTCTTAGCCAGCCTCACTGAGGCAGAGTTTGGGGCCCGATTGTCTCTTAGGACTCTTATCTCCCTCCATTTCTCTGGGTCTGGGAGCTTCCCTTCCCACCTCTCCTATGTGAGGCTCCTCCCTAACTTCCTGCCCTCATCGCCTCCCCGCCCACTGACTTATCTCCCTTTCATTCCTCCTGATCCACACACAGCCTCCCCCACCTTGGTCCCTCCCTGTACAGTGACTGGAACCTCAAAGTCAACAGCCCTCCTTATGCTGGGCCGCCAGGTTCTGAGGTATTTGTTTGTTTATTGGCTTGTTTGTTTTAGAGACTCGGGCCTCCACCTCGAACCTTGCCTCTGAGTAGCTGGGACTGCCAGCAGCCTAGCACACATGTGTCAATCAAATCCTCATCACTGGCCTCCTGGGTATAAGGATTCAGGCATTATGCTGACCAGCCCCTGTCACCTGGCAGAATGCACTCAGGCAGTAAGCACTCTGGTCAGCCCAGGGTACCATGACTACTAGTCTGCACGCAGATGCAAAGGACCCCTTTAAAAGACAGCCCCCCCCAGGGCTTTTCCTGTCTCCCTCTTTTCTGTCCTCTCTGTCTCTGTGTCTCTTTACCTCTTTTCTTTCCTTACACCCTTTCTCTTTCTAATAAAACTTCTCACGTAAGCTCTGTCTGCCTGGCATGTTTATCCTCTGCCTGGGTCAGCCTCGCCTGTCATGGAATTCATCAAGGTTTCCCACGCACATTATCATAACACTGGTTATGTTTTGGATGAACATGAACTTCAGAGAGATCCTGTAAGGATTGAATCTGCCCCACGACTCCTCTGCCTCTGCCCTGTCAGGCTCTTTTGTTCCAATGTATCTCCCCTCTAAGCTTAGGGGTGCTCACTGCTGCCTCCTGAGTTCTCAGCCTTTCAAGAGCAAGGCGTGGTCATTGTCCTGGGTAGCAGTGAGCAGGGTCTTCGCACTGGGTGCCAAGGAAGGGTGCACTCTACCAGGCAAACACTCTACCGCTGAGCTACAGCCTAGGCCGGGCAAGTCTGTTTCTTTTTGTTTCTTTTTGAGATACAGTCCCACATGGTAGCCCAGGCTGGCCCGGAACATATCAGTGTGTAACCCAGATTGGTCTTAAGTTTGGGTTGCTCTTTCTGTTTCAGCACCCAGTGTGCTGGGATTACAGGCATAAGCCACCACATCTGGTCTTTGGTGCTAAGGTTCAAACTCAGTGTCTGGCACACACTAGGCATGTAGGCATTCAAGGAGCTGAGCAGCCACATAGCTGGTAAGAAATAGTCTTAAACTCTGGAAGCTTCTTTATGGATGCTAGATTCTAATCAAAGCCAGCATGAGGGCCAAGTAAATATTCCAGTGGTGACTTTAGACACAGGGACACCTAGGTTTGGTTTGATTATATCTCTTCATTGCTGGGGGTGGAGACTGGGGCTTCATGAAAGGCAGGTGCTGATCCACTGAGCCGCATACCAGCCCAAGTCTTGACACACACACACATACACACACACACACACACACACACACACACACACACACACACACACACACACAGAGAGAGAGAGAGAGAGAGAGAGAGAGAGAGAGAGAGAGAGAGGAACATCCACATTCTAGAAGGCCCCTTCTCCTCTGCAGCCTGACCTTTTGAAAGTCACACTGGGGTCAGTTTTTTCTGGCTGAGTAGCTGGCCTGGCCCAAGCCAGTCCACTTTGCTGGACTGTTTTCTTTCCCCGCTCCTTCCTCTATTCTCCAGGAACTCATCTACCCACGGCCGGCAGGAAACTTTGATCAATCTTCATTTCCAAGTACAAACAGGCTGCTTTTCTTTGTCACCTGAACTTTGGACCAGGTCCCTTGAAGTGACTTCTTGGTCACATCTTTTTTTCTTCTTGTCCTTTTTTTTCCCCCTTCAGGGTCTCACTATGTAGCCATGGGTGACTTTGAATTTGCTATGTAGACCAGGCTGACCTTAAACTCATGGGTATCCTGCCTCTGCCTTCTGGTATTAAAGGTGTGTGCCACCTTGCCTGGATTTTTAATGACTTTTAA